TGTATGTAGAGAAATGTATATTAATATAGATTCTTTAAAGTGATAAAAATGAAACAGCTTTCAAAGTTTAATCAATAGGCAGAGATTTATTTTTTAAATTTGCTTGTAAATTCAGCCTATGTTTTAAATCAACACTAAATGAAAAGGGAAGTATATTGTGATATATTATCACTATTCAAATGTAAGAGAATTTCTCTTTGAAAATATAAAGATAAATAATTATCCTTTTTTTTTCATTTTGGTACTGGGGATCAAACTGACTATCTCATGCTTACCAGGCAAGCACTTGAGCCACTGAGCTAAATCTCCAGCCCTATATTTTCTGTTCTTCACTATCAAAAAGCCTATTTGTATGGAATTTATTATACTTTATTATAGAAATTTATGTTTTTAGAAGTTATTTTATGGAATATAAATATTTAATTGCTTAATATTGTATTTAGTTTGTTGAGGGATGGGATTAATTTCTAGAGTTTTCCAACTAAAAACAAGAAAATCATAATTAATATGCTCTGATTTAATGATATATTTAATGGTAACTTATCAAATAATAAGATCTATGACTAAAATATCTAGAATAAAATGTTAGGTGCTTATTTCTTTCATAATTTATATGATGTGTTTCAACAGAACTCTCATTTAATCCAATGGCAATCAAAAGACACTGGTGATAAATGCCAGCTCATTTCTGGAAAATAACTATTAAGCTCTATGCCAGTACAATATTATGGGGAAAGAATGGAGTGTGTTGAAGTAGCCTAACTTTCTTCTGGATATGTAGATAACCTTAACTTTCCTTGGTTGTGCACCAGGAAATTGTTACAGTGGGAGAATAATGACTTCCTAATCTGTATTTAGGTAAATAGCAGGGCGAGAGGTGGTCAGAAACACAAATCATGCAGCAAGAATGTAATGGTATAATGTATTACTAAGAAAAATATAGCATCAAAAGAATATCCTAATATTATTTTTTGAATATAAAAGTGCAGTGAGACTCTCAAAGTGCAATAAAAATTCAGTGAGTGAAGAGATATTCAGCAGAGCAATGGCAAAATTTCTAGATCACTGTGTTAACAGAAGGAGAACGGAAAAGCAGCAGAGGAGGAACAAAGGGGAGGAGGAGGGGACAGAAACTAAAAAGAAAAATTTTAAGGGCTGCACTGGAGATAGTTGTTCATTTGGGAGAGAATGGATAAACAAAAACCAGGCTGGACAGTAAGAGAAAATACGATGAAATCACTTTAATAGGAACAACTAAAGCTACTAAACAAGAGTTTGTCAAGAACATAAGTAGACAAAGGCAAAAAAATGTGAGATAAAGCTGGAAAATAGGGCTGGGCTTAATTTATGCAGGGACTTTCAATGTTAGGCTATACAACTTGATATACCATATAGTAAGAGGAAGCATTGGGAAACTTCACAGTGTATCAACCATAACAGTGTATTCTGAAACTTTTTCTTCTATGGGTGTAGCACATAGCAGAAAAAAAACAGGAGTATGATTGTCAGGCTGATCCTGGCAGGCAGTAAAGCGGTCCAGAGTTATGTTGATCGTAAGAGAAGAAAGGAGAAGTACCTCTGAGTATTAATCTCTCTGTGTTTGTAATCTTTGGGTTGTGTAAGAAAATATTTGAGGAAAACACAATTTAAGGAAGATGGCTTTATTTTGGCTCATGGTTTCAGAGGTTCTAGTCTACACTTGGCTGACCCCATTTCTTTTAGGCCTGTAGTGAAATAGGAACATCTTGGTGGAAGGGTCAAGGAGGAGGAAAGCTATTGGCCTCATTGTAACCAGGAAATAGGAGAGAGTGGGAAAGCCAAGAAGCAGGGGCCAAGGATGAGATATGGTTCCCAAGACTGTACCTCCATGAACCATTTCTTTAACTAGGCCTTTCCTCTGGTTTCCATCACCGTCCAGTAATACTACCCAACCAGCTCTCATCAGTGGATTAATTCACTTAATGAAGTTAACCCTCATGACCCTTCATTTCTTTAGGCTTCACTTAAAGCTGTACTGGAAATCAAGCCCTCAATAATGAGTCTTTAGGGGACACTTCGTATTTAAATTATAACAGTGACTTTGGAGTAATTGTACACTAGCAACAGATTGTGGGGAAGAAGGAATCTGAACCATTGAAGAGAATTCCTAGATTTGCAAGCTGAATTACAGTGAAAAATGGTTATAACATTATTACATATAAACAAATTAAATATAATAAACCAGTCAGCAGGAGCAGCAGATTTGAAGGGAGGGTATAAAAGATGCGATCTTGATTTTTCTGTTATGGATAGCCTATAGATCCAAAGCACAAAGGTTTTATTTTTTGATCATGCTATGTGTCTTCAGAGAGTTAAAGGTATGTTTTTCTCTGCAAAATCACCCAGAGACATGGACTCTTCTTCAAAAACTGCTGCAGTAGGGGAACGAGAAAGACTGAAAAATTTTGTGTAGCCGTAGTGTCTATTGAATTAGGCTGCAAATGACCCACAGCACTTTTGCTATGGAGAAGGAGCTGAGAACCGCGATCTCTTGTAGGACTTCAAGCACTAACAGGGTCTGCTGTGGATGGACTGACGGCAGGATCACGCTTTTCACAGCTTTGAGCAGGGTGCCAATGAAAGGGAAGAAAATAGGAAAACAATACTTTCCTATTTTAATTTATGTGAAAATTCTTACTCTGTACTCAGACACTGCATAAACTAAAGGAACTATAGTTGGTTGAAAACTGTGCTTTTACTCTTAAGGAAATTTTATTCTTAAATCTAAGTATATAATATTGCTTGTTCATGCTATATGGTATGTATGGAGGCAAAGGACTCATCACAAGTCCTCTCATCATGTTCACGAGACCTTCTAGATATCTTACATGTGGTAATACTGAGTAAGTTCTTCTGACTCTATCTTACAAGAAAGAAAAAGAATTTTTTGTTTCTAAATGTTAAAAAATAAAACTTATTGTATGTTTATAAGTACTTGGAAGCTTAACTGATTCTTAAATTACTCAAGGTTATCTATGATTTCATGTACCAAAGGCATAATATCAAAGACTGAGATAAATATATTCTCCAAAACTGTATTATAATACCACCAATTATATTAATTAGGTTACACTTATTTTCATACTACATAATAATTTTGAGGAACCAGGGAAAATATTCATTAAGCTCAATGGCAGTATTGTCAACCTTTTTATATTTAGATGCCTTCCTGTCCTACTAATACCAATCTAACTAAGGAAATAAAACTGAATTTGTTTAAATGTTTCATTGTGATATGAAACTGAATGGAAGAGGATAAAATCTATTAATATCTGCTCTATCAGTGTAATATTGCTTTTTGCCTGAAGTTTCTCAGTAGTATAATAAGTTATAGAGTTACTATTCTTTTCTAATCTTTAGCACTGGAAGTTGTTAACATTACTATATGAATTTTTTCTTGCTTTATTCATGATAATTGACTGCCACTATCAGCAATGTCCTTGAACATCATTACACTTTTATAAAAATGAAACTTAGATTGGAGAGTGAAATAATTTAAAAAGCTAACCTTTGAATGTAGATAACATTTTAAACTTAAAGATAATGCTTATAGTGTATTATAAATTATGTTTTGCATACTATTAATATTTATTATATATTTATAAACAAAATGAAATTTAAAGTAATATATTATAAACTATGTTATGGATAACATTGATTTTTTTTGGTATCAGGGATCAAACTCGTGACCTAGCGCTTGCCAAGGAGGCACTCATGCTGTTTAGTTAAATTCCTGGCGGATAACATTAATGCTAAACATAATATATGCTACATAAGAAAGCTATTGCAGAAAGTTCTTTTTAAAGTAGGTTTAAGAAATTGTAAATTACATGTTCCATTTTCCAGTTTGAAATATTGGGCATGTGTCTACTTTGAAAGAAAACCAATAGTTGAACATCACGAAAAGGAATGTATATACTTGTTTATTTATTTCAATATGCAATGTGTGACAAAATGCATTATAAATATTTTGTTGTATCTCTATGTACTCACTAAAAGCAACAATCACCTTTATAATTTGGTAGTCTAAGGCATATTTTACAAAGAGAAATTTTAACATTGAAATCAAGATAATGAGTCAGACTCTCCCTAAGCTGAGATGTTTCTTTCATTTCTTTTTAAAATACAATCTGAGAGTCTTCAGAAATGATATAATATGTAGAAGTTTATATGACTTGATGCTATTTCTAAAAGTATGTGGCACATAGTCTGAGGAAAGAAGAAAATTTGTAAGAACCTGACTTTGAAGTAAATTGCTTTTTTCCATGTCCAGTAGGGTAGCTCTCAGTAAAACAGTCTCTGCCAGAAATGTCCATTCATTTTAGCTAAGGAAACAAATTCCCATGCAACACGTGGTGACCAGTAGTCTATTGTCTTATAATTGAAGACATGATTAATGGGATACAGGTTGTTTCTGAAGTATCCATCATAAAAATATTGAGTTTTGCTGAAAGGCATCTAAAAATCATAAAGGATATATACCCCTCAGAAAATTTTGCTGCAGATAATACACAAAGGATTCCTCTTGGGCACATGTTTTTTTTAAAATTTAACTTCTGAAAACCAGCAAGCAAAGAATAGAGTTTTCAAAAATATTTTGATTGAATCAGGAGAAGGACTTTATTCACTGAATTTAAAAAACACAACATTTTTTTGTAATACTGGTACATAAAGAGACTGCTTAACAAAAGTATCTATAATTACTCATTTTAAATGTTCAGAATCAAAAATTTACTACTAGCTGTTATGATTTATCAAGTTTAAAGCTACCATTTTCTCTTTTGTTTTTAAACTTAGGTCATAAAACATAGGCTAAAAATAACTTTTAAAATGTTTTTAAAGTAAAAGATATAGCAAGAATGTAAAGACATTATTCTGGTTCCTTAACTAGTACTAAATTTAAAACACTTTTGACCATGGCAGTTTATAGGTGCTGGTAACAAATAGGGGACACATAGAGTCACACTACAAATGAAAGAGGCACTGTTGATGTGTACAGGAAATCATCAGCGAATACATGAAATGAGACCTATAAAGGGATGTGGACCTCTATAGGGGTAGATAATGTAGGAGTTCTCTGTCTGAAATCTGAGGTGCGTTCCTCTTGCCATATGTATTGGATCCCACATCAGTAGGCAGGAGAGCAGCGCCAAGGTTGTGGCTGGAACGAACCAAAAAATTTGTCAGGCGTTGTGTCGCACACGTGGCAGTGTTGCACTTTCGTTTGCCCACCTGATGGCCGGTGTCACTGAACAAATATAAAAATTAGAGACTTAAATGATGATGGGGTACAGCCATGTGACCCAAAATATATGGGTACAAACTAGAGGAAATATTTTCACAGAAGTAGCTCAGAGTTTCATTGTAAATTTCTGGATAATAGTTACTCTTCACACCTTAAAGATGAAACAGAATCAATTTTCGAATAGGAAATCACAAAACATCTTTCTTATGGTTGGTGTTGCATTTCTCAGCATAATTCTTTCTTTTTTGTAATTCAGAATACATTTCAAATAATGATAATAACAATGCGTGTTTTGCTTCTTTTCTTCAATGCTTTGGTGAATTTATTTTTCTGATATATAAAAACATTTTAAAATGTAAAATATGAATAAAAATACAGATTTCCAACATCTTTCTAGCAAGAATTAAACAATATTAGCTAACTTTTGTTAAGTTCCTTGAGATAATTTAATAAGGAATGTTAAAGAGAAAAAATGTCAGAAGGAAATTCTGCAATATGCAACCATATGAATCAAATTTGAGAACATTATGCTATGCTAAATAAGCCAGCTGTAGGAAGATAAATAATACTGCTGGGGAGATAACTCAGTGGCATAGTTACTGCCTGGAAAGCGCAAGGTCGTGAGTTCGATTCTTGGCACCAAAAAGGTACTGAATTTAAGATCAATGCTGAATGATTATACATATATGAAACATCTAAAATAGTCAAATTCATGAATCAGATAATCATAATTCAATGATATTTATCTAGAATAGTGGAGGAAGAATTAAGGTTCACTAATCACTTGACAAAATGTTTTAATCCAGCATGATCCATAAATTCTGGAGACTTGTAAACATTTGTCTATATGACAATACATTATAAAATTATAATTTTACATTACATATAATTACATTATAAAAACTTGGTAAAAAGGCAGAGTTCATGTTTAGTGTTCTTATGACAATAAAATAAGATGTGATAAAATATGAAGGAGAGAACGTCAGATACTAGGAACTCTTAAGGGGAATCAGCTTTGTCACCCATTTAGGCATCTTTCGCAGTGTGGGAGTCTTCTCTGTTTCAGCATTAATACATGACATTACCACCTTCCTGTTACCTATATGGACCTATGCTTTTAATAATTGTTCTAACAGGGATGAATTAAATGTTAACACCAAAAGACTACATCAATGGTACCAATATTCAGCCCATTTTTAAGCAACCTGAAACAATTGCATATATAATTAAGATGTTAAAAATCACAACTCTCAAATGATGTAAAAATCCATTTGAATTTTAACTTTTGTATTTTAAAATCTAATATCAACTCTATATTTTGGTAGCATCTTTTGTTTCAATGTATAAATAAGATAGTTTTCTATTACTATAAACAAACAAACAAATATAAAATATGAAACACATGACATGAATGAACATCAAAAGAGGAAGGTCTTATTTTGACTCACAGTTGTGGAGATGCTAGTCCATGGTTAGGGGCCCTGTTGTTTAGGGCCTGTGGTGAGGAAGTACATCATAATAGGAGTGTGTGTTGGAGTGGGTGCTTGTGTAATCATTGTGGGGAAGCAGACAAAGGGAGCAGAACAAAAAGACTCTGGTTTCCAAAGCTGCTTTGAGAGGACTCCTCCAGTAATGCAGAATTTCCTACCAGGGCCTATTTCTTGTAGCATCCACAACTTCTGATTAGCACCATGGGCTGAAGACCAAGCCCACAGCAGACATATACTTAAAAGGCATAACAAATGCAAACTATAGCGATGAGTTTTCAAGATTATGTTTTAAATAAATCCAGAGCAATAACATTGCTTACTTCTTGCTGATTCTTATTAGGAAAATGCTTTAGTTTTAAGCTTCATAGAAGTTAAAATATGAGGAAGTTTTAGATACATAAAGTAACAAATGATAGTTGTGGAGTTAAAAACTTAATGTACAGAGTCCATAGATATAACTTTGGACTATCTCAATATGTTTACATTGTATGAGGGAACATCTGTTTCTGTCTATGGAGAAATAGTCAACATGCAAATGTTTAAAATTTCATGTGAAACTGTTTTTTTTCCCATTTTTTACTGGAATATTTTCTTCAAAATACAGAAAACTCTTCTGCCAGTGTCATGTAAGCTGGGCATTTATTGAGTGTAAATACATGTTAACAAATCAATTAGGCAAAGGCAACCCATGTTGAGACTTAAATTGTTGATCAGTATCTGTCATGTTTACACTGTCTGCTCAGCTATATCATTTTAGAGGGACAAGTAACATGGACATTTTCATTTTAAAGAATAACTTAATGGTTTAAGTAGAGGCACAAGGATTTCCAAAAATTGGACGTTAAATTCTAAAATATGAACTTTTCCTGAACAAAGCAACAGGGTTTGAAATTTGGCCCTAACACCACAAGTTAATAGATTTAAAGCAACAGAAAAATAATCATTCAAATCAGGAAATTCAAAGGGGTTCTGTCCCAAGATACGTTTAGCAAATGCCTGGAGTGTACGTGAAATACACTAAATGCTAAGGGTAGAGCTGTACTTTGAAGAGTTGGAATGTCAAAAATAGCATTTAAAATCATTCTAGGTAAAATGTTATCAAGTTATCTAAAAGTGCCATTATTCTACATAAAAGAAATGGAGCTTTTATGTTTATTTCCTAATTGTAAAACTGTTTTCCTAAACAAGATCCTTTATCTAAATATACCAGTCTGTGTATACAGGACACCCACCCAAATAGTCATTAGGATGAGAAAAGATGGCTGAAGTGGAAAATGAAAGACATTCTGCTGCCTTTTTCAGTAATTTTTTTTCTTGATGATCTGGGAAGACAGGTCCTACCTGCCTACATAACTAGTAACCAAATGGCGAGCTTCTGACTGTGTATAGACACATAGATGTGTAGAAATGACTGACTGCAAGAGATTTTAACCAGTAATGACAATAAACCACATTCTTCAAAAGCATCTAAATTTTAAGGGTTTTAACAATTATAAGTGAGTGTCTGCTCCCAGCCCTTAACAAACATATGTAGAGATGTGTGAGCTCCTATAGGTACTGGGGGTGATTACTCAGCAGTTTGATAGTGAATTGTGCTTTTAACTACTCTCTGATCATCTTCTGGGCAGATATTTAAAAGAGCATGTTAAAAAGTGGGAAAATATGTGATCCTTCTGCTTTACTCATGAGCACAAAATGATGAAACTACTTTCTGGTGTGGTTTATAAAGTCGGCTTGTTACCTCTTAATCCCATCACATGTATGAAAACTGCAAATATCTCAAAGGAGATAACTGAATTTTATGAGGAAAATGGCAGTGAATAATAAATCCATGTTCACTTTGTCTTTAAGAAGCTTAATTTGAGTCACATGTTTTCTTAGGTTTTTATGAGGTTTTAAAAATATTATGTAGTAGCTTGAGATGAAAAGTCATCCTCCACTCTGAAAAATGATCAAAAATACAGATTTCAGGAAAAATACTAAAAAGTAACTTGCAGAATAGCTTACAGGAAAACCTAGTAAAACTTCAAAGTAAATGATTGTGAAATAATATGAAAATAGTTTGATAATAAGTAAGGTTGTGAATTATTCTATTTCTTCTTCTTCTTTTTTTTTTTTTTTCTTTTGGCAGGTGCTTATGCCACTGAGCTAAATTCCTGGCCGAAATTATTCTATTTATGAATAAAAATTTCACTCACAATAAGCACACATACTGAAATTATACTTGGTAATTTTATTTAGCAAATGTCTACTCTAATTAAAGAAAAAGATAAAGATAGTGACAGATATACTGAAGAATAATGTTAATTTTTCTGTCATGAGTCAAGTATTCAACTTATCAGAAAATTTACACCAGCTGTGAAGTTAATGTTATTCATGAAAAACTCAATTGAAAATTAGTATCAGTTCTGAAAAAGACATTCTGTAAAGCAGATAAAAATTGAGCTAACAAACAAAATGCTGTGATGGGTTCTCGCTATTTGTTATTTGCTAGGTCCTGTAGAAATCATTATTGCCTTTACATATTACATTCTATCCAGGAAAATACAAAACATAGATAAATAAAGACAAGATGACAACGACTTTAATGAGATGCATTCTTTTCAAGGGGTCTTTTCAAAGGTAAACATAATTCTCTTTTGTCTAAAAGAGCGTGTAAGATCAGTTTCTCAATTATATTTGGAACAAAACTGATTTAGGCACAAATGAATCATTTTTATGTCAGATACATGGATGTGGACTCAAGAATCCTTTAAATAAATGGAGAATTATAGTTTTAAAGGTTTTCCATTTGAAAATTGTAATAACTACTAACTGTTTCACTTTACATAGTTTTTAGAACTTTTTAAACTTACTAGATGACATCACAACATTAAAATAAGCCTTCCTAGGAAATCCTAAAGCAGTATACATGCTAAGAATTATTGATTTACATTTATAGCAGTTTAGAAATAATCTCATGAAAAATAACTTTTTATCATTCCATTTCACTAACAGAATTGGTAACAATATAGAACAAATCCCCTACCAGCAAAGAGCATTTTAACTAGGTCTTAAGATTAATTTCTTAAACACTTAAACTTACCACTATGCCTATTCCTATATACTTCACTTTCTAGAAAAAAAATGGAAAAGTTTGGATATTCCTAGAATCCTTTGAGAGAAAGAAATCTATATAAATATATAAGAAAATTCCACCTGTACATAGTTTTCTCCAGTTTGGTTCAGTATCAGGTTAATACAGTAGACAAGACTTTCAGTTTTTGCTGTTCATGTTTTTGCTTTGCCCCTCTAAGTTCTGATAGCATATTTCTTGACAAAACAAGAACCACTGTGTTTATTTCTTCTGTCTGACACTCAGAGAGATTTAGGAGTCCTTGATGTTATTCTTTAAAGAACACAGCATTCAGGAACAATGGGGTAGTTTCAAGTTCTATTTAAAGGCATGATTTAGTCAGAATTCTGCTGGTACATGGATAGTTATATAGTGGGATTTAATTCCATTTCCCCATCTCATACCAAAGAAATCAGACCATGAAGTTACTGACCTTGCAATGGATGTAGCTTTCAGTTCGTTTAGTGCAACACAGAGCACAAGGAGCGTTACTGGCAGCCTAAGGAGGCACATTGCTTCTCAGATTTTCTGAGAAGAATAAATCAGTCCTGAAATCAAGAAATTTCCTTTAGACATAAAAGATACAATTTCTGATTAGAGCCTAATTGTGGAAAAATTTTAAATACATTTGCGAGAATCTCAATTTTATTGAGATAGTCTCTTAAAACCATTCAATTTTCAAAAACTTTCCAAATGTTCATTTTCCCAATTCCCCTCTCTAAGCAATCTGAAATTGATACTATAATGCATCAAACCTTTAACCTTTCTTTGAAATAAATTATGTATTACATGAAGTCTGTTTTTCTGTCCAGTAAGACTTTCCCAGAAACAGGAAATTCTTTACCTTTTAATGTTTCAATGTGAAGAATACCAGGAAACGCCTTTAATAGGAAGAAAGTCCAAGCTTGCATTCCCTGGAGTATTTGCTCCCTACATGCTAACCGGTAACCCAGCTCTTATATACTCTTCACACCATCTACAGCTCAGAGTGATTCTGTCCTTAATTTCCATCCCTACAGATAGAAGATGCTTCCTAGCAGAAGCAGATGGGTCTTTATTACCTTAACACATCAGTAAATATTAGCACAGCAGACATAGAGTGTTTTTGTGAAGTTAATGATGTGGAAGCCTGAATTTTCCCTCTGTGTAAACTACAAGTGAATTTTCAAGACTAAAGTATATGTTACAGTAAGGAATTGATTACGAGGGGTTAAGAATGACAATAAATGTGCTATATGCAAAGAAGAAAGTGAGACACGGAGGATGTATACAAGTAAACCCAAATGACCCCAGTGAATTAATACCATGGGCATTGAGAAGTTTAGTGAAATATGGTAATGTGTATTATAAAGGGACACAGAAGAGAAATCAACCACACTGAACCTCAACTAACTTTTTCTTTCTTTCTTTCTTTCTTTCTTTCTTTCTTTCTTTCTTTCTTTCTTTCTTTTTTCTTTTTACTGGCACATGTTTGTAGTACGTGAAATTCCATTCATCTTAGGAATTAGGCACATGTACAGAATACACTTAGTTTCTTTGTAAAACACCTTTTTCCTTCCTGCCTCCCTCCCTCTTCCTTAAGTCTCTAAATTTACTTTCCCAGTCTTTTTTTTTTTGGGGGGGGGACAGTAGCCCCAGCCTGGCCTCAAAATCACAGCAACTCCTCTTGCTTCAGCTTCCTGTGCTGGGATTACAAGTGTGCACTATCAGGATCAGCTCTTTCTCCATTTTCATTCTTATCGATATTATCAATCTTGGCTCATGTTCATAGTAAATAATGTTCACCTTCACTGAGATCATTAGATTCCTCCACATCGCATAGCTTATTTCTATGCACTTTTTCCTTCTCCCCCCGCCTTGCCCTTCATGTCCTGTATGCTTCCTACTTGCAAGAACTGATCATTTTGTGCAATTAATATGCACTAGTTAAAGAATGAAAGAGAAAACAAAAGTCATTTAAAATGATGTGGGAGAAGATAAGGACATAAAAACAATAACTTCACATCTACAAATCTTTCGCTATTGAAACAGCTGCATATTTACATATACTCCCATCCACTAGTCCTCTGTGTCTTTTTACTATGGTGTAGGTACAGAGAACACTTCATAGCTTTCTGGTGACTGTATGTTTTTGTGACTGCCTAAAGACCATTCACTACTGAACCCAGTAGTACACTGTCATTACACCTCCTTTCAAAAGCTTTTTTGAATTAGTATTTGTCTCTTTTTCATTGTTTAGTTTTAGAACTGCAAACCATCTCAGAGAATAGTGAAACTACTCTTCCTATGACATTCACATTTTATTTCCGACATTCTCTGTCTTCCTATTTACTCCATTGAGGTCTCTTTCTGTGTTCTCTGATCTCCTACTTTGCTTCCAATTTACTATTTTGGTTGTTTTCTAGGTTGCTATAAATTTATTCCTTGCTGTCCTATTGAGACATGTTCTCATCCCCCCTTTGCTTTGAATATCCTGCCCTGCCTTTTGGTTTGGTCCCTGATTTTGATGGAAATTGTCTTGCTAGCTTCCCAAAAATGGACACTAGAAAGATTTAGGTCTTTTATTTTCTTGAGTGTATATTTATTCTCCTTCCTTGGCTGAAATTAGGTAAATGGTTTTCAGCATGTGATTTTTGTTCAGAATTAGGAAAACATTGTTGTGTTGTAGTCTAGCCAATATAATTGTACAGAAAAGCAACTTTAGAGCCCTTTGTGTCTGACTTTTATAAACCTCTCTTTAAACCATGTGTGATGACCCATGTTTGTAACCTGAGAGACTGAGGCAGAAAGATCACAAATTCCAGCTCAGATTGGGCAATTTAACTCTTTAGGAACACCCTGTCTCAAAATTGTAAAAGTCAGATAACAAAAAGAAGAGGCTAAAAGGAGGATAGGGATGTAGCTCTGGGTTTAACCCACAATACTATAAAATAAAAAACAAAATGAAACAAACAAAATCCTTTCTCATGGGAATTTCTTGGACCTTCTCCTCCTTCCTAGGAAGTGAATTTGCACGGCTGTGCTTGGTGTGGGTCAGCACTGACCTAGCCCCAAACCTCAGTGAGTCCTTCAATGTAAAAACTTGTATCTTTCAATTCTGGGAACATTTTCGAGGATTTTTTCCTTGACAATTTTCTCCACTATTTTTCTGCTTTTCTTCCCAGAAGGCTTTTCAGAATTAGATGTACTAATCTTGTACTATTTATAAACCTTTTTTTTTTATCTTAATTTTTAAAGTTTCTTGGAAATTTTAAAAAAAATCTATTGACTTTTAAATAAAAGATTAACTTTGGCAATCACAGTTTTAAATTTCAAGAACTCTTGTTTTCTCAATGCTCTTTTTATAGCATCCTGTTTTCATTTCATTGATGGAACATATAACTTTCTGAGCATACTATTTATCGCTTTCTTTTTTGTGGATAACTTTCTTTGCAGAGTAATAATCTATGTACAAATATATCATCGTGTTTGACTGTTTGCCTGTTAATAGACTTTTTGGTTGTTTCAGATGAAGCTGATACAAACATGGAGTCTTTATACTGAAAATTTTCTTTCCTCTTATTTAAATATACATGTATAGTAGGGGGGTAGGAGCCAATTACTTTTTATCAGTGAGTTGCTACACAGTTGATTAAGTGCTGTATGCATGGACATACCTTGCTCACTGGTAGATTACATTATAAGGTTATTGGGCATGGAACTGACCATTTATCTAGAAGACTGCAAAGTATCAGTATTTGGGGTTTTTTCAGATATTAGTTCTTTAACCTCAGATTTTTCTCAAGGAACAAATATCTGGGTTGACAAATTGGGGAAAAGAAACCTCATAATTTAATTGACTTGCACTTTTAATTTGGTGGTTCACTTCTTCCCTTCTGGTGATTGGCTTCCACAGATCCGGGTTCTATCCAATTTAATACTATACAAAGTTTAATTGGTGGTGTAATGGATAGTAGTATTGAGAAGTGTAAAGGAAGCCTCTCTTAAAACACAAGGTCTAATATATATTTTTATACAAAAATGCTCTAGTTCTTCCTCCTATACTAAACTATACATCTGAGTTATCCAGGCATGAGAACACCTAGACTTTCAGACACAGGAGCAATTAGGTTTGCTTCATGTCTACCTGGCCAAGTGCAGGAATGTGAAAAGTACGTCATTGTTATAAGAGTAGATCAATAGATCTTAACAGGTTGAGAGTCATGACTCCTTTTCAGACTAATGGAAAAAATTGATTCTAAATACACTATGTGGGTATTTCTCTTTCCTATGAAAACAGCATATGGTTCCTTCCACTGTGATCTCTGTGTTATAAAAAAAATGAGAAAGAAAGACCAATGCTTTCAGGTGAGGTTACAAGCGGGTTTAGGCAATACACAGAACATATCTTGGACTTGTTAGGTATATGTCCAGTACATTTTTATTGATCTTTCAGAAACCAGAAGAAAGCAGAGTTTGGAGATGGGCTAAAAGGGATAGTTGTTAACATCATGTTTCAAGAGAAATAGGAAACTGTGGGCTCTCAAGGGTAGTAGAGAAGTGAGTATTGTAGGGGGAAGGGATGCAGTCACTGGGTTGTGTGTTTATTCAGAATCTACTTTACGCCAGGCATTGAGTTAAAACATTTTTGTGCAACATATCTTCAATCACCCTGTGATGTAGAATATGCTACTTTCACAGATGAGTGTTCATGTGTTTAGAAAGATTAAGAAACTTTTTAAAATTTATGTTACAATGACAAGGAAAATTTAAATGATATACATCACATACTAAAGTACTCCAACCTGGAAGAGTTATAAAAAAGTTAGTCTTACTTATTATAACTAGCACTGGGATTCAGGGGGTGGCAAGTTAGGTAATCTGAGTGTTGATTTTCACAAGAAAATGACAAAAGATGATCAGCTGAAGTTGGTATTTGTGTGTGTGTGCTCCGGATCGAACTCACAACCTTTGGCTTGCCACTGAGGTTGGTCTTTAGCTTGGTTGATCTTGTGCACTGATCAGCAGTGTCCTCGTTGTCACTGGAAGTGGGGCCAGTACAGATCTGCACCCCTGTGGCCCTGGTCTCTCTCTCTCCAGTTTTGATAGTATTGAAAGCTGGTATTGGGGAGAACTCTGTTGTCTGCAGGAGGCTTTCATATACAGCTAAGCCTAAAGGGAGAATTAAAAGAATATAATCACGTCCAGCAGGACCATCGCAAATCATCTCCTACAATAATCTCTGAGCTTTGGTTTTATTTTTCCCATTGAGCACTATCCAGAAAACTTGGAAGAGGTCAATAGCCTTACGCATAGGTGAATCCTTAGACTGAAATGATTTTACTCTATGTAATATTATTGTTCGTCTTGGTTCAGAAGGTCTTTAGTTCTTAAAAATCTTTCCTTACGTATATATGATATATAAATAATATATGCACATATGCAAATGATGGACATACATATAATTTGTTTTGTTTCAGATTTAGTAGTACTTTAAAATGTTTGAACTATATTGCAGTTTTATGTCATGCTAATTTACTTCTAACCTAAGAAGATGTGATAAAATTAACTGCTTCTTTAAAAGTGCTACTTATAAGTGCTATGATTGGATATAATTATAGATAGGGATATAAAGTGGTAATGTGTATAGTTGAAAGAACCCTGATTAGGATTTGATTGCTTAACAAGACACTGTAATAATTTAAGAAAGATACCCCATAATTATGTTTTAGCATGATTCAGAGAAGTAGCATACTATTGAAGCTGAAATCTCGTTATATCATAACTGCTGTTAAAAGGCATAATACAGTGTGCCAAAAATTCTTTTTAAGATTAGTGGTTTCATTTTAAGCACAAATTGATTGGTTGAAAAAACTATCAAGTTCACTGAGATGTTGTTACATGCACCCTCCCATATTCCTCCCCTCCTACAGGAACAATGAACCTCACAAAGACCCAGCTAAACAAGGAAAGAACATCTTTATTTTAATGTTTCAGAATAAATTGATTAAATATATTTGCTTTTAACTGTGAGTAGAAAAGTGTTTTCTTATGTATTCTGCACAAATATTTCAAGTTTCAGAGGCTTGAAGCTGCGAGGTTTCGTCTATAAGTAATAGATGGCAAGCAAAAATGTGTGTCCCTTTGTAGGTTAGTTTTGACTAAAGGTTGATGTTTGAGACATGACCACACATAGTCTTAATGGTACCCTTAATAGGAAGATTAAAATTCAATGCTGAATTCAGAGAGTCCTTCAATCAGGTGATTTTTCTGAAATTAAGTGAATGGAGGTAAATGTAGTAATAATATAACTACTTTGAAAATAGGATTTATTGATTGAGATATTTCTGATCCTGAAATTGGAGTATCCAGATTAATGCTGTGTAGAAAGTTTGGTGGTTTTAAATCTTATAGAAAATTTTGCATCTTAGAATTTTCTCAGCAATTTTGGTAGAATTGCTACTATCCATCCTTACTACTCTTTACTTCCTTGGAATTTCCAGAAATAGATTCAGTTTTGAAGATGTAGGGCTAAGCTAAAATGCTTTTTCAGATCCAAGTCTGGCCTGTCCATCTGTGAAATGAAATACAGAACACTTGGGGTTCTGAGCCTGATACAAATGCCTCATATTTTCCACAAGAATATAGGCATCTGGAACCTCGATTTCCTCTTATTTAGCTTAATAACTTGTTTAGGTCTCAAATTGCAAGCCTCTTTTGAAACTCAACAGAAAACCTTGTAATGACAATTTTAAACCATTCCATTGGGACCAAAAGTTTCAAGGAATATTGTTGAACTTGTGTGGTATTTGTCTGACCTTGGGTATTTGGGGGCATCATAAAGCCTGGCCTTGGATACTATTGATGTCCCTTTCATCAATGGTTGATCTCCAAGCTTTAAAACTGTGCTAGTTTATAAAACTTGCAAGCTATCAAAAAGAAAATATTCATGATAACAAATATATGATGATCCTAGAGATCAGCTTCACTCTCCTGAGAAGGGCGGGATTTTTCTTTAACAAATCTGTGGTGGGTCTGGGAATATGTTGCATAGATGACTCTTGGAGAAGCCACACTAATGGATGCCAGCTCTGTTGTCAGCACACACTGAAGTTTGTGACCTCCATACTCATGCCTCTCATGTTACGGAACATATTTTGCCTTATTACATGGTTGTTTAACATTTCTTATCTATTGGTTTCTATGTTGCTTGCCAATAAGGGCTTTTAATTGCTAACCTCTTATTTATCCAATGTCTTAGCATAAGGCTCTCTCTCTTTCTGTGTATTATTGAGGATTGAACCCAGGATGACCTTCACACTGAATTACAGTTCCAGTCATTTTTCTTTCTTGAGACAGTTTCACTAAATTTTCAAGATCAACCTTGAATTTCTGATATTCCTGTCTCAGCTTCCCAGAATGCTTGATAACTGACATGCACTACCATGCCCCATTTGTACAATACTTGCTGGTACATTAGAATAAGTATAATGCTTAAGAGTTAAGACCTTGGAAGCTATGAAAGTGGGTTGTAATTCTTATTGTACTCTATAAACAAATTGGCATCTCTAAATTTCAAGATACTTCTCTGTTAATGACTGATAACAATAGCTATCTTGTAAAGTTTTGTAATCTTTAAATGGCAGTGTGCACAAAGCATTTCATGTGGTACAAGAAACATCATGGGCTCTCCATTGATTAGTAGCAACTTGCTGAGGAAATATCTTATGGAATTTCCTGTACTCTTACTAAAGAAATACAGACAGTATATGTATGCATAATAATAAAAATAAAGTCCAAACTGGTCTCATCTCCCAAAAGTAATGAAGGATAATATTTTAGTGAATATTCCTCTGAGCATTTATTTAATCTATATCTACTTATACATTAAAGGAACTATCATATCATTTCTACAATTTTTGTGATATGCTTGTTGATTTTGAAATTGTCATGAATATTTTTCTATGTCAAAAGTAAGTTGTATCTTGTGATTTTATTCATACATATATATTTGACATTTAGTTATATATATATATATATATATATGTATATATAATTTTTGACATTTAGTTTTATTCCTTAACATTTACTAAAACAAACCTGTATATATATGGTCTATGTATTTTTTCTTAAGTTCAACTTTTATAGAATTGAGGTTGTTAGTTTATTTATTTTATATATTTTTAATATATGGTAATTATCACTAACTTGCCATTGAAATGTTGGATCTTTTATACTTTTATCATCTGTGAGTGAAAGATCTTTGGCAATGCCGAACATTGTATAATGAAATATCACTCTATCATAAGGAAAGGTAAATTTTAGACATTTTTAGGTGAACAGATGCACCTAGAGATATAATCCTAAGTAAAATGAGCCGTACACCCAAGTTTAAATATCACATTGTTTCTTTAATGTAACACAGAGTATAAATAAGGAACAAAATAGAAGATAGTTATTAGAAAGTAGAAAGAACTTGTTTAAAATGCATTCTTAATTCAGCAGATCTTAATGGGCATCTTTTTTGTACCAGACACTGAACTGAGTAATGGTAGGAAAGGAGCAGGTGATTCAGAGGCGAGTCAGGGAAATCTGATTCCTTCTTTAATGGACCTTCAAGGATAAGGACTGTAAAGGTATTCAACATGTAGGAACTAAAGATGTGATAATGAAGCGCTTGCCCAGAGGAATTCAGCCTAGGCTGGTGTGATAGATAAAGCCTCTTGAAGGGACAGATACAGGTGATATTAGACAAACTGGGGAAGAAGGGCAGAGTAGGGAAGCACAGAAGTAAAACTTTCCAACTTGGTGGATGCTTGAAGATCCGGAGAAAACACGATGTGGTGTGTGGAGTACATTCTTGTGACTCAGAAGGAGTCATGAGAGTGGTCAGAAGTCAAAGCATGAAGAGTCCCAGAAGGTGCCACAACTGAGCCTTTATTTTTAAGACTGAGTTTTTCATTTTTGAAAGATAGGTCAGGTTGAAACTTAGGAGTGGCTTCCCGGAGAGAAAGGGTACAAGTATATTTAGCCCAGGTAGAAGGTGACATGGATTAGCCTGGGGTTCAGAATGCATTACTCAGCGCTCTGGTTACAAGTGACAGGAATGTAATGTAAACCAATTTAAACAAAGAGGAGAGATTGTTGACTCTTCTAACCAAAGCATGGAAAGTAATAGTTTCAAAAGAGCTTTGGGGGATAATAGAAACCTGGGACTTCAATGTTCTTTATGGTCTTTTAATTTTTCCTGGTTTTTTTGCTTACTTATCTTTCTCCTTTGCTTAGCTTCCTTTATAGTTAAAAACAATAGTGCTACAGTGATTCTTGCAATTCAGATATGCTTTATCATATTGAAAGAGATATATTGCTCCCCCCTTTTTATTTCTATGGGAGTTTTAGATTCATATCAAAACTGACTAGATTTTCCTCTCTGCTCCAGTAATAGCCTCTATTATCAACATCCTCTATGAAAGTGATACTTTTGCTAAAATTGGTGAACCTACATTGACATACCTTCATCCATCATTTATAACTGTGTTCTGTTTGTGTTAGATAAATGTATAATGACACATGTCACCATTTGGACAACATTCAGAGTAGTTGTCCTGCCCTGAAAGTTCTGGTTTCCAGATAGTCATCTTCCTTCTCCCCAAATCTCTGGCAACTACTGATTTTTTGGTTTCATCTGTTTTATCTTTCCCAGTTTGTCTAATATCACCTGTATCTGTCCCTACACGAGGCTTACTCTGCCACCGTGACTTAGGCTGAATTCCTCTGGGTAAGCGCTTCATTATCACACCTTGAGTTCCTACATGTCATATAGTTGGAATTAAACACTGACTCATTTTAATAAGTTTATTTTTAAAATTCCAATGGAGTACTTTGATTGGCTTCATTAGCGTTGATAATTGCCCTATAAGACAGTTAAGCCTGTTCATACTTTTGATCACATGATGATAAGCTGGTCACCTACTGATCTTTGTATCAATCAAATATGCTTTGGGGAGAAATCGTCTCTGCAGCTTGTATTGTCATTTTCATTCTAAAACATTGTTGAAGTGAGAAAAATAATGCCCAGTAAAAGAGGAGTTCAGGTTGACAGACAAGAGTGATAGAGGTGCTAGGGAAAGAAATGCCTGTTTCAGAGCAAAGCGAATGGATTCAGGAAAAAAATTTAAAGTAGAACCAGCAGGACCCAGACATGCACTGCATGTAAGGAAGAGAATATAATCTAGGACATTGCTAAAATTCCTGATGTGAACAGTTTTATACAGCTATGTTGGAAATATTTGTAAGATATCAAGTTGAGAGGTTTAAAGGGTCTGCAATTTGAATCTTTACAAATAGTAATGGAGACAATAGTTGCAAATAACACTGTGGTGCTAAATCCAGCACTTATGTTTTATTTATTTATATATTTTGGGTACCCAGGAATCAAACTTAGGACCTCACACTTGTCATGCAGATGCTGTGCCAGTGAGCTAAATCCCCAACACCCAATAGCTCCGTTTTAGAAGCAAGCAAACAAACAAACCCAAAACTAGATGTTGAATTTACAACACAGTTCAATGAGCATCCTGATGAGAAAAACTTTAGCAAGTGATTTCCAGTAGTGGGAATCACAGTGTGTCAGGAGTGAGATAGAGATGAGTCAAAAACAGTGATTGTAGGTTCTATATTTAAACTATTTTTGAAGATTATCTTTTCAAAACGTTAATCAGCTTGCCTAATTTGCAAGACTTTTTTCTGTCAAAGAAACACTGTCACCGTTTCTCACTGATATACAGATGCATTTTTTTAAAGAAGATTAAGTTTGTCAAAGATGGTTTTGCTTTCTTTGGAGTTTATTTATTGTTCAGTGCCCTTATTTTTCTTTTGATTCTTCTTGCTCAAATTTTTTTTCTGAAAATATAATCCATGTCAAAGAAAAACAAATAGAGGGTTTGAATTGATAATAAATATAAAAGGACAAAAAAGTCTTACTGCCTAACACAATTCTCCTCAATAAGCCCTGGCCTAATGTGGAAGTTGGGTTGTGTAAATTCCTCCTTGTTCTGGAATTTTGAGGAAAGGGGACAGGAAGGCAAGACAGATCTTTACTTTAGACATGTTTGACTTTGTTGAAATCTCTTGAATCCATATTATTGTACCACCCACCATTAAAAAGTATTCAGTTAAGATTTGGTATCAATGCTATAGTAGAATTATGGCTTTAAATGTAAGAGTAAGACACAGTCTGGGCCACAGGAAAATTTAAATATGTTCTATAATAATACAGAATAAAAATGTACCATGAACTTGACACATTAGAACACACGCAATAGTAAACTCTAGGTGATAACTTCAAAATGAGAAAAGCTGATGAAGTAATCTGAATTTACTACTTTAGTGCCTAATATACTGTTTGCACCATGTAAGACCATATAAATTGCACTTGGGTAAATAGCTTGACTAAGTACTTTACATACTACCATTGATAGTGAAGTTTTTAACAAGTTTTCTTTAAAGTTCTTTCACTTTCAACCACTTCAGTCCCATTCTAGTTGTCAAAAGAATGACATCTCAGTGTCTTAAAATGCTTCATGTTACAAAGTGATAGTCTCAATGCACGGGCTAAAAATAGTGCCTTTTTCTGGTAATTTGAAATAAGCCTGAATTCAAGATCAGTCGTATTACTAAGGCGTGAAGGAAATGATCTACCTTATGTGGGTGAATTTATGTTAACAATGACCTTGAAAAACAAATGAACCTACCTGAATGGCCCAGTGAATTATAGATTATTTACTAACACATCTTGTTTCCAAAAATAGTGGATGGACAATCTGAGTGTTTCATGGTGGTTTAGACTAGACATCCTTGGTTATATTTTTGCTAATTCAGTATATACAATTTTGGTGCTTTAGAGTCATACTACAGATAAAATTCCAGCTGAAGGGAAATTATTTTGATACCTTTTACTAGGTCCTTACAGATGGGAAGGACAGTTAGCCAGCAAGTAGCTTTTAACGAAGCCAGGATAACAGAGAGTCATCATTTCATGTTTTCTTTTTTGAGAACTTATCTTCTCAGTATAACATTACACAGATGACAGTGATACTTTGATGAAAGCTATGTCTACTACCAATGTAAATTCTTCTGAACACAACACAACCTTAACCTGAGCTCAGCAAAAATGTGTGTGATTGATCTTCAACAAAATTCTCTTACCATAATTCCATGGTAGCAGATAAACTAATCAAAGATCCATGCACTGAAAACCATTTGTGGAATAGATTTCATACTTAATTTACTAATGTACCAAAAATATTGTTTAAAGACCTAATCTGCATCAGCATATTGAACGATTGTGTATATGGTTGTGTGTGAACGATTGTGTATATAGTTTCCTACAAACATACTTTATCATCTATAACAAATGAATATCACTATTTTCTTTTTGAAAATATTCAAAAATATGCTTCACATATCAGGGAGGGATTTTGAAGAGCTTTTACGCTCCACACTGATTAGACCAAGAAGAGCTGTACGTCGTATTGCAGCAGCTAACTCCATCATAAAAGCTTGGATTCACGAAAATCTGAATTCAGGGTAAAGAAAAACTCACTGTAAAGGTAAAACCTCACTTGCTATCTTTTCTTCCAAAAGAGAAAAGAAAGATAAACAAAAAAGAAAGAAAAAGAAAAAGAGAAAGAAAGAAAGAGAGCCTCTTATGTGTATGTAATGAGCTGGTGTATGCTAGTTTTGCATGAGGTAGGTCTTTATTTAATCCATTCACTTTCCTTCTCTCTTGTCTTTTTCTTATTCATATAATTTTATGTGAAAATTATTCAGAAAAGAAATTTCAGTTTTTTCTTAAGGTTCTGAAAAGGGCATCATGTAGACCTAATATATTTGCCTCTTTGGTTCTTAGTATGCTAATATTCTTAACCTGTGTGACAATTCTTTTGATTTAAAAATAACAAAAGGCCCCTATTAAAATATGTATCTGCTTGGGACAGGAATATTAAAATTTTATATATTAGAATATATAAAATGAAATATAAAATTAATTTATAATTTTATAATTATAAATTAAAGGTCATCACATATTGGTTTTAAAATATTAATTATAATTGTTTTTGGTACCAAGGGGAATAGAGCCAGAGCACAGGACACTGAAGAAAATGGGTCAGACAGAATACCAAAACTCAGACCTCTACACAGCGAAACATGGGAGACACTGTGATTAATGCTTTGGTGGGTAAGAGGGAAAGAGATTGTGTCATTTCTAAGCCTTTTTATAGTGCTAAGGTTTTATGATTCTTTTATTATAAAAGGCAGCACATGTCAGTTTTGAACCTGTAACATCAATGCTACATGAAAATGCCCACTTAGTAAATAAGATTTATCCCCTTTTTGACAAGACATGATTCATTTGTGAAAGTACCAGCTTTCACTATTCAGTCATAATTTCACCAGATAGAAAGCACATTATTCGCCAGGCAAAAGAAACACATTTGACTCACATGATTCCCTTGCTTTTCTTCAGCATTACTAACTATCCCTCACACCTTGTATAAACACTGAGTAAGTGACCATGTACAACAGCGTAAGTGACCACTGAACAGATGGAATTAGAAAAGTATTACACATTTTTATTCTGTTCCCCTCTATGTCCCTCCCAAAGGAAATGGCTAAAATTAACACCTTTACCTTGCATAAGATAACCAAATTAAAGGCTTTCTCCTGTGATTCATAAGCATATGCATTTGTTTCCCTCACTGGGAAGGAAAAAAAGAGGATCAGTTATCTCTTAATCAGAACAATGTCTTAGGTTATGTGTTGCCACACTGGAAAGAAACAAAATGTGACATTCCAGGGGTACCTCTGAGAAGATAAAAAGGAAAAGGAGAAGGAAGCTGGGGTAGCAAAGATGTTTTCAACTAGCCCATCGTCAATTTTAGCCCATCACGTCTCATGTAGATTAAGAAGGGAAAATAAATGGTAATGGTAACTTAACTTTCAAAAAATGACAGGTATACATTGTGAGGGCCTTTGCATGCATATGTGTGTGTTTTTCACCTCTATGTAGGTGTTCTAGTCTGGCTCCAGATGCATGGTGTATTTGTAAGAAACTTACGATACATATATACAGAGCAAATATCTTATCACATATAAATAATCTGACAGTGGTGAATATAATGCTAATTTATACACATTTATTGAGCTGTTTTTGCATTTGAAAAAATGCATTCCAACAAGAGCTCTTCCATGCTTTGTTACAGAGCAATACAGAACTTAGCCCTTTGAGGGTCCTATTTCAGAGTTAGTTTAAATTACATCTGGTAGACAACTACTTTCTGTAGCCCTGCTGAAGAGAAAGTGCTAACAAAGCACCAAGAGTTGCTTAATTAATTCTGTGTAGATTGCCAAGGCCAGTGGTATTTTGAACAAAAAGTTTATGAGTACATTTCATCTATTGCTATTCAGTCTATCCAAGACACTTTTGCCATACTACAATGAATCTGAAGAGAGGTACACTTGCACAAACTCAGAATTATGGCCTGGTGGGTAATGAAAATAAAATGTGGCCTCATTATATAAACCAGTGGTTGATGAATCATAATAACCTTTTGTGGAAAGCTCAAGAAAATGAATTCTTTGAGGTGGACCCAACCTGCATTACATTCCTTTCTCTAAGCTGTGTTATCTACAACTGAATGGCATAAAAGAATTCTTTGTTTCCCTGTCCTACAGAATGTCCCTAACAGGAGGCAGCAGTGTCTATAATTTGGCTTC